TGATCTAAAACGTTGGATAGTGCTGAACCTAAACCAGTGCAATAACCCTGGGTGCCACCATTTAAGTTTTGTGATGCATACAGGAAAGAGCTTTTCCATCCCTCCAGTCGTTTGTTGTATATAAGCTTCGTATTTTCCAACCTAAAACTCCAATCCCCTGTTCACCCCTGTTCCGCAAGGACTAAGTTACCACTTCTTCTTGTCAATGATTCTTACATAAAAGGAAGGTGAAGCTTTCAGAATGTGAAGTGTTTAAGTGCTACTGAGAAAGTGAGCAGCGCTTATTTAAGAGTATTAAAGTGTTAAGTTGATGGATGCTTTCAATCACTTCTTTCCATTACAAGACAAATACTGAAGCAGATGAAGCTTCTATATGAAATTCTACCATCTACCTGAAAGAGACACAATCTACAACACATTCCTTTTCCAATATGTTTTCTTAATTCTTCACACACATACACAAAAAAAAAAAACACCGTCAAATAAAACCCAAACCCACCACTACTGTATTTTGGAAATTCACACCTACAATATTCTCTTAAATTTTCAAACTAATCAGAGATTAAATGGTCACACTGAAGGCAGAGATCACACTGAGTTCCAAACCTCACATCATTCAACAAAACACAGCATTTCAATAACACAACCGAAAAGCATGACTAATCAACAGAAATATTTCCTTACTTTTGGGGATTCATTTAGTGAAAATAAGCAACCAAAGCGTTTAAGGCTTCTGTAAAACATACAACCTGTTTATGCTGGCAACACAAGTTCCAGAAAACTGAATCTTTCCTGTATTTGCCTGCAGCAAAACAACTGAGACAGTAACACCACAAATGAAAATGACAAATTGAGGATTCTCAAATCATTCTAAATTTGAACCATAAGTGACAGAGAGCAATCTAATTAAAAAAGTTCATCATGTTCTGATGTGCTAACATTATTTCATGATTTGACTAAATCTAACATAGCTGCTCCCACCAACAGGAGCACACACTTTCAAGTGGTTAGTTGCCTGCAGCTATTTTCTACAGGAGACTGTAGTAGCATGTAATATTCAAGAGAAGCTGTCTACATTACTTAAAACGTAAAAAAATAAAAAATCAGTGGCTGTTCATAAGTTATACTGAAACAAAATGAAACTTCAAGAGAGCATTTCACTGACAATTCTATTTACACTCCTTCCAAGCAGAAATTATTTCATTGCGCATATTTATGCCTTTAAAGACTTTAACACGTAAAGCTAGAATGTGACATATTTATGGAATCTGAGTTACATTAACAGCCAGCTAATTGAATACTATTTTAAAGATGGAATGCTCTTCCAAGGAGCACACTCCATTTTTAAACCAAGTATTTTAAATAAGTTATGAACCTACCAATTTTTTGTCATTTCACAGAACCCATTTAAAAAAAAAAATTAAAAAACCCAACAACATTAAAATATCCCAGTAATTTTCAGCTTTTGGTTGCAAAACATCAAAACGTTATGTCTAAAAGATCTGTGTGTAAATTTTAACTGATGTTCTTAAATACAAGTTTAACGAATCCTTACACTGCTTATTGACTTTAATCAGTATTATCTTCCTGAAACTGTAATAAAAAAACTGTAAATGGATGAAAAAAAAGCTCCAAAAATTTAACTCTGGCTTAAGCACATAACTTGGGGAATATCTGAGCACTAGGAAGTTTCACAGGACGACTGAAGAATCTCTCCCATGCCATACTTCCATGCCTTTGTTTGAATTTAAGCCGATACAACATCTAATGTTAAGTGCACAGTTAATACAACTAACAGAAATTTACGAGTTTCCCTCATGGGTTGCATAAAACCCACCTGTAGATGACGCCATTAAATGTCACTGGTTTTGCTAAGCACCACCCACACGAGCCCTCCGCTAGATCAGAGCAAGATCTATCTGTCAGATATCGGAGTTAATGCCAACTTTTCTTCTTTGTATAACTTTGAAGCATTCTTAGCCTTTAATTAACCAGAACGGGATGGGGATTCCCACCCGTTCAGCTCTGCTGCTGAAGGTTTATGCTACCAGAATAGCAGATGCCTTCTCACACTCTGCTTCATTGTGTAATTAAACTGTCATCATGGGTATAAGGGAAAATACAGTGTTACCCAGCAAAAAGCCCCCATACGAGAACTGCGGCATTGTGATTTTGCAACTGATCACCACCAAGATTTAGCCAAAAAATGAAAAGTGGTGTATAATGAGCAAGTAATATCAGGTAGAGAGAGATTAATGTCTGCCAACTGCACAGTCACTCGTGGTGTTTATTTAGTTGCACATAACCAATCCGCCTGCACATAGGTATTATGTAAGTCCCGGACAGCTCAATAATAGACAAACACTCCAGGAATAATAATATGTGGATAAACAAAGCACTTCGGGAAAAAGAATATTAAAAGGAAGTAATTTCAAATGACCAAACATTATAAATGAGAAAGAAATCATCAGTCACAAATCGAGACTGAACTGCCCACAGTTAGCACCGGGACTATGCTTGAAGAACATCTTGCTGCGAGACGTGCCAGGAACTCTAGTTCCATTTAGAACAAGACTCGACAAAACTCCCGGACCGCGTACAGACGGCTGCCCAGGGAAGAGACCCAGGCGGCGTTCTCCTGCCTTGCCCTTCCAAAAAAAACCAGCCGAACAGGGACGGCGCGGCCGCGAGCTGCAGGCGGAGGGTGACCTTCGCCGCCGCTCCCCGCACGTCGCGGGCCGCCCCAGCTCCCCCGCGGTAAACGGAACCCCGTCGGGCCCCGGAGGAAGCCACCGCCTCCCGCGGGGGCGCGGGCCAATAGGCGGCAGGTGGGGCGGCGGCCCGAGGCGGCGGAGCAGGCCCCGTCGGGGCCGCCTGTGACGCACTTCGGTAACCCGACTCCCCTCCCCGGCGAGCCCGCCGCGCTGCCATGGCCCCTCCTCGCCCCACCGACGAACACGGCAGCGCGGGCCCGGCCCCGCGGGTTACCTCCGGGCACGCCGGGAGGCGGGGGAACGCCGGGTCGCAACGGCGGAGAAGACCGGACACGCCAGGGTGTGGCTCCGGGAAGCACACGGGAAGAGCGAGGGGGGCACTGGGGGGAAGGTAGCAGTGGTGCCGGGCTGCCGAAAAGTCATTAAATAAACACCAAACACACGCAGTAACTACAGCACCGGACTCGGTGGACATCGGAACTTTGTGTTAACTCCAGACACCGCATCCCGTGGGAAGACAACAGCGAGAGCCGAGCCGGCCCAGTGCAATAAATCAATAAAAAGCAGCCAAAGAGGGAGCCGAGCGCCTTCGCTCCCCGTGCTCGGGGAGAGAAAAGAAAGGAAAATAATTAATTCTGAAGTCGGTCGGTCCACGATTTCGATGGGACGGGACAGGCTCTACGACACTATCGGCGATGGAGGCAGAGCGGCGGGGCTGGCACCCGGCAGCACCGGCACCCGGGCAGGGAAAGGACACCCGAAACCCGGGGCCGCCCAGCCCGGCCCAGCCATCTGCCGCCGCTCTCCTCCCGTCCACCGCCTCCCTGTCCCTCTAAGTCCCTAACCACGGCAACAACTGTGTATTTTTAATCTGTGTAGAGAAAATAAGCGCCCAGAAAAGGAGTAACACCAGGAAAGCTCTCGCTTCCTACCTGGGCAGGGTTCAGCTCAGTTCAGTGCGTGCCGAGGAGGAGGGGGTAGAGAAGCACTATCTAAAACAAAAGTGGCGCCAAAACCCCCCAGTAAGAAGCATTCTTCTTCTTCCTCCTCCTCCTCCTTTCCCCCCCTCCCCCACCGGGGCCGGCGAGAGCCCAGCGGGGTTCCTGCAACACGCGGCTCCCGGCACCGGGCGTCCCCGGCACAAGTTGGCAAGCGCCCTTTCTTTACCAAAAGAAATAAATAAAACAAGCCGAACAGAAACGGCCACAACTCTTCCTCTCGGCGGGCAGCCGCCCAAGAGCTCGCCCAAAGTCACTCGGAGGGGAGCACTCGCTCCACAAAGGCCTTCCCCGAGGGGCGCCCAGGGTGGGGTGGGGGTCGCCAGCTCTTTCGGAGGAGCCAGCGAATAGCAGCGGGGGAGAAGCGCAGGTCAGTCCCTACGTCCTCACTTGGGCCGAGGAAGCTCGCTCCTTTCGGCCCCGTCACTCGGGAAGGGGCGGCCGGAGCTGCACCAGCTCAGCCGAGACGGGGAAGACGAGGAGAGAGACTCCAGTCCCTCGGCACTTCCCTCCGAGGAGAAGCCGCCAGGCGCGGGCTGGCAGGAAGAGCCGAGCTGCTGGGCAGCGGGAAGGAGGGTCAAGGGAGCCCGAGCGAGCGCTGTCAGGGCTGGGAGCTCCCTCTCCCCGGCCTCCTCCGACACCCGACCCCGGGGCACCGGCAGCCGCCCCACCATTTTCTCCTGCGTGCCGAGCGGCCCAGAGCTCTGCCCCGCCGAGCGCGGCCCGCTCCGTCCGCGGCGGCTCCGATCCCCGTCCCCTCCCTCCGCACCCTCCGGGCGGCCCGGCCCGGCTTGCCCACACACACACACCCCGCACACACAATGCCCGAGTCCTCCATCTTGCCAGCAGCCCCCGCTCGGCTCGGGAGAAGGGGGGAGGAGGAGGAGGAGAAGGTGGTTCTCCATTTTAGCTCTCCGCGCACTGGGCCCAGCCTGCCCGCGGCCGGCTCTGGGCAGGAGGCACGGGACTCGGGACGGGCAGCGGGGGCCGCTTTCGGCGCCCTCTCGCTCTCTCACTCGCGCTCCCGCTCGCTTCCCCCCTCCCCGCCGAGGCGCGCTGGGAAGGGGGGGTGGGGAAGCGGGGGGCTGGAGTGTTTTCGCGGCTCGGCCCCGCCGTCCTCCATCTTGGCTGCGCGGAGTCCCTGTGGCCAGCCGGCCTAGCGCCCCGCGCCGTCCTCGCAGGCCCGGGGACCGCGGGCCCCGTCCCGGCTTCTCTCCACAACCACGCACCGCGATCCCGAGTCCCCCCTCCAAACTTCCAGAAGCTTCGCCGCCATTTTCTAACTTACCTTGCCCAGTGTCGGCGTAGGCAGCGAGGAGGCCCAGGCGCGTAGCTCCGCTCCTATACCCGCGGCCCGGCTGCCGGTTGCGCGCCCGGCCCGGCCCGTCGCGGAAGCTCGGCGGCGGCGGGGGCTGTGCGGGGGGCAGCGCGGGGCGCGGGCAGGTTGTTTAATTTGGCGGCGGCGCTGGGGATTGTTTGGGGTGTTCGCTGCTCGGCGGCTCGCGACCGAATGGAGGCCGCAGGCGCCACCTGGCGGCCACCGAGCGGCGCCCGCTCTCCTGGGCGTGGGGCGACACCTGCCGGCGGGCCGCGGGCAGGGCCGCGCCGAGCGGGGTAAACAAGGTGCCGCGCATGCGCGAGCGTGCGCGCGTCCCGTGCCCACTCCCGCCCGCTCGCGAGTGCGGCCGCCTGAGGGGAGCGGGGCGGGGCGGGGCGGGGCGGGAGCGGCCCCGTCTCCGGACCCAGCCCTGCCCCAGCCCCAGCCCCGGCCCCGGCCCCGGCCCGTGCGCGGCCGCGGGAGGGGGGAGGCGGCCCAGTTGCTGGCTGCGCTCTCGGGGCAGGATCGGGTGACCGAGGCGGGCGGACAGCCTAAAAAGGAGCGAGAGCTGCGGCTCCAGAGGCGGGTTCGGTCTCACACGAGTGGGCCCGGGTGTCCTCTGCCTCGGAGCACAGAAGTAATTAGAAAATGATTGTTAAGCTGAGGCAAAGTTCAGTCTTTATAAAAATAATGCATTAACCGCCTGCAGTGTCTCCTCGCTGTCCTGTCCTGTTAATGGCAGGCCCTCAAAAGGTGGTCGCCGGGGCCCAGCCACCACCGTTCTTCACAGAGCCACCCCAGCTGGTCTGTTCTATCTTCATCAGTTCTGCGCTCAGGAAGCCGAGTTGTACGCAAGGGAGTCTATGGTTTCCAAGATAAATGTACATTTGCCCACATGGCTGCAGGGTGCCTTATCTTGAGGACACCAAGCTTGTGTGGCAGTGCAAACAGAAGCAACGTGGCTGCCACTGGTGGTGTTCCGTGTGGTTCAGAGCGTTCTGAAATGTTCCCTGCTTCTGCCCATCACTGAGCACCTTCCCAGTTCAAATCAGGAGTTGTGCCTAGGCTGTGTGTGGCTCTGTTTTCTTACCTGCATGAACCCAAAGCAATCTCATAGAACCAATATAGAAAACTTAACTAGATATAAAATTTGTGGTTCTTGTTTTTCCAAGCATGGATCTCAGTAGTTTCTGCTAGCTTTTTTTCTCTGTATTGTGTAATGCTGAGCACATTACTCATGCTGAATAGTTGCACACAAGCTTATAGTTAGAACAGTCAGCACAATCACAGAAATCAGCTTGGTTGGAAAAGACACTTAAGATCATCGAGTCCAACTGTGCCGCACCACTGCCAAGGCCACCGCTGACCCATGTTACTGAGGGGCCTCCTCTACACGGTGCGTGAACACAACCAGGGATGGCGACTCCAGCACTGCCCTGGGCAGCCTGTTCCAATGCCTGAGTACGTTCTCCGTGAAGACGTTGTTTCTAATACACAATCTAAACCTCCCTTGGTGCAGCTGCAGGCCGTTTCCTCTTTGTCCTGTCACTTGTTAATTGGGAAGAGAGACCACCCCCGAAAACAGTTTTGTCCTGGTAATTAGACTAATCGTTCTCTTGTGTTTTACCTACTTCTTATTTGGGGGACAGTTAGCATAACTAAGCAGGCACTAAGCTGAGTTACTCTGCTCACCTGCCTAACAAAGGCAGGACACTTAAAGAGTAACTGTGAGGTCAGTTCCAGTCTTCTCAAAGCTGAGGCATTGCAGAACCAGTAACACTTACAATGGAAACTGTCATGAGATAAGTAGTTTAAAATAAAAGAAACCCTACTGTAATACGAGTTGATGTCACTTAGCAATTCTACGTGGAATCTGTGGTACACGAGACAGACCTAAAAAAATAAATTCTATAGTTTGAATTTATGTTTCAGAATGTCTTTTCACCTCCTGACAAGTAAATGAGGAGAAAGATTCCCTCTTAGGGAACACTTTAAAATAGTACCCTGACTAGTCATAAAACTGTGTGTAAGGTTTCAGTTACAGCTACAGGTGCTGCTGATAATGATGATCTTTAGTGTGAATCTGTTAATGTATGTTTGGAGAAGAATTGTGAAGAAAAGATAATCTGTTAAATCCACACACCAAACCTCAAGTTTAAAACTTTATATATAAATGTCTCAAAATATATATATTTACCATGGTGGTTGTTAAATTACACATAAATAGATGCAAAGGAGTTGGATCCATTTGTGCCTTCCCTGTACAGTCAACTTCTGACAGCTGCCAGGTAGACAACTTCTCCATGAAAAACTACCGCTTCCAAAACAAACGTTTTTCCTGCACACGGAATTCCAGTAATGTATTCTCTGCTTGAGATACAATGGGGCTACACGTACTACAACTCACATCCAAAACTTTGTGAGATTATAGTCTACTGTGAAAGCTGGCAGGAGCACAGCATGAGGCAGCTTCAGAGGCAGCTGTGCATAAAATCTGTGTATTAGCTATATCAGATGTTTGGTGTGTTCCAAAACCACTGTACTTCACACTTGACCTCATAGCTGAGATTTTTTTAGGTAAATGCATTCAGCAGAACAAAAGGTGACATAGTTCTTAGGGTGTGTTTCTGAAGGAATGAGTGTGCAAGTGCTGACAGTGCCGTGGCAGATTTTAGCCTGTTTCCAGAGCTGACTCAGACCTTGGAAACCAGATCCAAAACACTTTTGGGTGTCCTGACTCACATGATGAGTTTGCTTTTTTAAAGTTGTGACAACAAAACATGGGAGCACTCTGGAGACCAGACTCCAGGTGCCCTGGTGTACTATGAACTGCTGCTCACAGTGCCTGCCCAAGAGGATTTTGCACTCTCTGGTTCATTTCCTCCCTCCCAGTTGCCCCATTCAGCTGTTTGCCTAGCTGCTCTGTAAGCAAAGCTGTTGCCTCATCAGAGATAGGGAGAGGAGTCGTTTGTTGTCTGAGGGAATGGTTTCATTTTGTTTTTACCCAAACCATATCATTTCTCAGATGCTATCCAGAGTACAATCACATCAGCAGTTCACTCAGCATAACTGAAGGCGTGGTGCACTCCTGTCAAGGTCGGGAATGTTTCTGCTCTGCTCCAGTGACCAGAGGATGGGAATTTCTGAAGCCAGCTGTGCCCTGGGAGGGTTCCCAACACAGCACTGCACTCACCAAATAACCAGTATAAACCAGTTTGTAGAGCACACATCTAAGGAGCAAGCACAGCAGCCTCTTGAATGATGGGTAGGAATATAGGGGGCAGAAAAGCAGAACAAGTTCTGAACTGTTGCATGGGGACAAAAGCAGCCCTGGGAGAGCCTGGCTTCTCTATTTTCCCTAGGAACTGATCATGCTTCTGGGAATGAGCCTTCCAGTTGGTACAACAGGGAAGATGAGTTGAAAAGCAGTTCCTTTGCTAGTGCACCACTTCTTTCTAACCTGACAATTCCAGAGTGGGCTTCTACCATCTGTTCAGACTGTGAGGAAATCAAAGAACATCCTGAAGTTTCTGTATAGTTTCAGCACTTTAGCATCCTTCCCAATATGATGAAAAAATGTAAAATAAAAATGTATTATCCAAGCATGATAAGAAACTAGATCTTAAATTCTGACCTTCGTACAAAGGATTTGTATCTGATAGAAAAGAAGTTCTGTGGAAAACTGTAGGAGAAAGCATTGTACAGGGCTATGTCATCTTTCTCATAAAAGAGAAGAGAAGCTCTCTTTAAGAGCTTCAAAGTCTAGTGTTTCTGATACCGAGCCCGATTCAGAGAGGATTTAACAAAGACTTTACAACAGGGACTTTTACTGTGCTTTGTCCAAAGAGCACTCTTGATCAGTCACCCGGCTAAGAACCTGAGCGAGGAGATGGTAGATACCAAATCCATGCCTGAATTTATGGCCAGAGGTTCACCACTAGCAAAGATCAAAACAAACACAAGCTGCCAGATGGCTGATTCATTCTTCCAGGCAGGAGATTCATATTCGTGCTGCTTCCTTTTCTGTCAAGGCAGCGGAACAGGAACCCCCTCTGAAGTTCCGTTTCCTCTTTTCTGTTAAAAAAAAAGAGCCACAATCCTTCACCATTCCTTTTATTTTTTTTTAACAGAATTTGCTTATGAGAACTGGAAAACAAACCAGGCTTTGTATACTGGGTTTGTTCCAGGGTGAGGTGGGAACTTCAATGGCCTGTATTTAAGTAAGAAACAGTCATATTTTTATCTGCTGAGTTGGGTGCAGAGGGGAGAAGCAGTCTTCCCAGTTGGAGGTTTTTTCCTAGATTTTTGAAACTGGGTTAGTCACTCCAGGGAAATCTGCTCTGAATCCTTTTGGAGATATTACGTAAGAAACAAAAATAAAGACCAGAAAATGGGTTACTTGCCCATAATTTGCAGGAGGGACATTACACATCAGTAGCTCCTCAGGCCTTTCCCTGTTCCATGAATAAATTCTTTGTGATTTACTAAGTCTCTGTTGTGTGTCCCTATTTCTTGCCAGGTCTTTCCAGAACACCTAACTCAAGCCTGAGTTTTCTTTGATTCAGTAAGTTCCTGCTCACCATGCTTGCAGAGCATGAAGGAGCACAGAATCCCAGTTTGCCCCATATTGCTGAAAAGGAAGGAAGTTTTAGCTCACCTTTGTTACCAGCTCTGGAAATGAATAGAGGCCCTGTAAGTCACAAATGCTTTCCTGCTAATTGCATTATCAGCAGCTTTATTCAGCCATCTGTGCCACTGGTTACCCAAAGCCCCTATTTGAGGTGAGGTTCTCCTGCTATGCTTCATTCTTTGAGATAAGATTCCTTTAGCCATGTTTTAAAGTTTCCATCACCAAACTCTGTGGAGGCCACATGAGTTATTGGTAGAATGTAATGAAAAGCTCTTCTCATAGCCTCAGTCAGGAAGAGTTGCTTTCCCTTGAGGCATCACCCTACCTTATGTACAGGAAAGGGTAAGTGTTCCCATCAGGGCCACCTCTCTTGAACCTGGGACGTGGTCTGGTCTGCTTTCCAGAGGTAGGGGGGTTTTGGAAAACAACCAAGACCTACTTGTGTCCTATAGCTAAGCCCAGGCAGACGCATCACGAATCAAGGATCATTTTAGGAGTCAGGCACCATGACAGCATCAGTGACAAAAGTCTGTGGAAGAAGCACAGGAACCAGAGAAACATGTTTCAAATTGGGTAAGCTGTGTAAGTGGCAGGGCAC